AGAGCACACTCCTGTGTGCAGGAAGGCCAACCAGGCGTCCGCTAACAGCATGAAAGTGGAGCGGTAATTTTTGGACGACGCGGTGTGAGTGCCTGCACGATTGTTTTTCTGCCACCTGCTTTGAGGTACGAAAATCAGCCCCGATGACAGGACGCTCTTACATGTCTACGGTGGACATAGAGGGTTTGCAGCCTAGATTAAAACCGGCTGGTGAAAGAGAATGGAACGGGGATCGACGAGGGGGGGAGAGGATGAAAATAATTTGCAGAAAGTACTGATGGATAGCAGCCAAGTCAAATATCCTCCTTTCTCGAACCAGTGATAGAAAGCCGATCACAGGCTGGTTCGCTTGCATAGCTGCACGCATGAGATGCGAAATCAGGTGGCCAGCAAGTTTTAGGCAGGAGAAGTGCGGTTTCACGATTCAGAGCACGGCACAGCCAACAATCCAAGCACAAGCACAGATTCACCGGTTAAGATAGTTAAGATGTAATTCAACTGCCTCAAACGGCAGTTTTTGCCGGAGTCCAGGGCAGTATAGCCTTGGAGGGAGTGGAGGCTGCAGAAGTTGAGCTCTCCGATTGCTGTGTTTCGCTTGAGGTCCGTACTGAAGTCGCCGGTGCAAGAACCGGCATGGAAGACGTGGATTCACCCGCTGCGGATGTTCCACTACCTGAGGAGACGTTCCTACGACGACGATGGAGGAAAAACTTAAAATAATTGCCTCCACCGCTGTTGGTGTCGCTTGTATCAGGACTAATGCCCACTCTACCTGTGGTGGACCGGGTGCTGTGTAGACTGTTAGAGGAGGTCGAGTCACTGCGTTGCGTATCGTGCAGGACAAAGGCGACGCTTCGCTGGGGCCGTTGAGTGCCCGCTCCCAAGGCGACAACAGACGGGCAGGGACTGCGTGATGGATAGACAGCGGAGGAGGAGGAGGAGCAGGGCACAAGGTCGGTGCAGTTAGTCTTCTCAGCAGTCATATCAAGAGACAGGTGACGCTCATTCGCCGGTAACTTTCCAGCAGTTGAGCTGGAGGCAGCTGGTACCGTAGCTACACAATT